CAGTCTGGGTCGGTAGAGGCATACATGAGTTAGCACAAAAGGGTTTCCATCACCGGGATTTAGTTTATCTTAACACCAAAGTACTGATCGCTCCTGGAGCAAGGGTCCCATTGTAGAGCTCCACAGATCTCTCTAATGGGTCTCTTTGTAGTTTCCAGGAGAATATACAGAAATCTCTGGCTAAGATTATTGTGCAATACACAATGACAATTTTGATTCAAGATGGCTGCAGTCATGTTAACCTGAATCTACTTTTTCTAAGCCTTCATTATAGGCTCTTACAACCTCACACCCCCCTCTTCTGCAGTGTTCCCTGAGCTCATGAGGGGTTGTAGTATCAGACAGCAGCCAGGAGGTGATTTGTGTGCAGATTGTGAACAGAATCTACAGCAGCAGTGGGGCAAGTGTTGCTAAGGCATAAAGTAATCATGTAACAAGAGTAGCAAGCAACTGTTTTCACTTAGAGACCCAGGAACCAAACCAATGACTTAGCATCATCCAAACAGAGATACAATCGGTCAATGTATTGATTGGGGCCTACAGTGTGACATGAGGTTTATGACATCAGAGATGAGCACGCTTTTTTTCCCCCCTGTAACAGTACTTTCTACAGACAATATAAAAGTAGAAGCCTCTAGAAATGGACTTGAAAATAAGTGATTATTAGGGAATTGTCACAGTCAGTCTGGACTATTCATGAAACAGCACCACGGGCACTTTCCCTTAGACATCTTAGTGAAAGCAGCTGGGGGTGTCATGGAGCACACCATGCACTGGCCAACAGGTCGAGCCCATACGTCATTCCTGGAGCTGATGGCAAAGTGGTATGCAGGATCAGGAGACCACTGTGACACTGGGGGATTTTCTTTAGCCCACTCAGGGCATAACCAATGACAGAAGAGACCCACAAGATCGAGTGCTGAGTTAGGAAGGCCAGAGACTCCCCACAGTGTAACATGAGCTGGCTGACCCATCTCCTGGTGGATAAGCCACTTGAGGCCTCACTGGGTTGCCCACTACCGGGGACTTGAGGCGTTCTGTTCACTACAGCAGTGTTATCACCTATCAGCTCTGGCAGTGCGTCGTCTGGCTGCATCTTGCACATGTCTTTGGGGCAGCTGCCAGAGACCCCAGGTTTGCATAAGGGACAGTCATGTGGGGCATCATAGTGTTTAGTTTATGCTTCTCCAAAACTTTGGTACAACTGGCCAAAAAGGTACCTGAGGGTTATGTGGCAGATTAGTGCCATACCACATAATGTTTTCAGGACTAACATCATGGTCTGCAAAATGAGGACCCGGGCCACTGATAACTTGGTTGGGTAGCCGTGCATCACACGAATTGCTCACAGCTTGGCCGGAGGAGGGGGCAGCTGAGTAGTACCTTGTTAAGGAAAGCTTGCTGCAGCCAGCGACTGTGTCTACTCGGGTCACATTTTATGTTCTTTCCTGCTTCGTGAAGGAGGGTGTAATCAGACTGACAGTGCCACACTTACTGGAGAATTTAGTATATTTGCTGCTCATGTAGGTCACATAACAGGGCAAGAGACAGGAACATACTTGTCACTTTGGCTGTGACTACCACAGAGTCACCCTATTTTAGGGATAATCCTGCCTGTGCTTTACTCCATTTTAGCACTTTTGAAACATCTTTCTACATATCTACAGCACTATGTCTCCTGCCTGGGTCAGGGCCTGGGCCTGAGTAAAACCGCCTCCAACTTTCAAGCAGGGAGGGACTCGCGAACAGACACACTAGTTAGGGTCAGTGACCACGACCATACAAATTGGAGTGTGGTTGTTCAGATCCTCCAGTAGAGAACGTGAATCCTCTTGCCACACACATAGGCCTCAGTACACTACCCACATCTTAGTACCACCATCAGCACTTCCTGAGATACAGGAAGTCATACAGCCAAAGCTCTTCCCTCCTGCTGCTGACTTCCTGTCTCCAGCCGGCTTTGCTGAGTGGCAGCTTATACTGCAGTGGTGTACAAGACACTGGACTCTTCTGCTTATCAAGCAATGCCAGACGGGCGCTGCCTCCCTCACACCTCTGAGGTGCAGACACTGGGTAGCCACCAGAGACAGCAAGGCATTTTTATAGATAGATGAAATGAACCAAATAGTGCCCACCACAAGAGGCCTTCATGTTATGAAGCCGCCTGCCACTAATACATAACAGGGTCTGCTGTAGCAGATTGAGGCAGAATGGCCCATCCACACAGCTCAATGTAGGACCATCAGTGATGTATCCAGGCTTGTATCCTATGACAGGAGCGGCACACTGCCAGACTCTGTTCTCAGGGGTGGCTATAATAGGCTCAGTTACCTTTCAGAGATGAGGAATGCTACCATCTTGAGTCTTAGCTCCACCTACTGAAACAGTGGAGATAACCTTGACTCGAGAGTGGACTGAACCTCACAACCACCTGGGAAAATGAAAAATTTGAGAAGTACTAAGAATGGGGTGGAGGGGAAAGTGAGATTCTCTTCCCTTCTACTGACATTTTCACTTTCAAAATCAGGAGACCATAGAGAAAACTGCAGGAAACAGAGCCTCACTCCTGGGAACCGGGGAGGTCGGGTCCATGTGGTCTACCCAAAGCTCTCAGAATGTCTGTCTGGTGAACTGGAGGTATCTGGGAAAAACTGGAGCTCATTGGATGAGGACTAAATTTCTGAAACACATAGGGCTATTTATCCACATTACAAATGAGCAAAAGGACAAGAAAGACATGCAGATTGTCCTGTAAATATATCAAGTCAAATTGTTCAGAAACACCAAATCCAGCCACTTGTTCAGGGGGAGGGGAGGAGTGAGGCCCCGGCCCTTTCTGTGTCTGTCAGGAACAGAACAAAAGTATGAAGACAAATGTAGCTGTGAGAGTTAGTTCTGCTCTCCTCCCCAAAGGTGACTTCCTCTCTCGTTCCTGAGTGAAGAGAGCTATGTGTTTGAGGATGCAAGTTGCAGAACCCTGACAGGGAGGCAATCACAACTGGGACACCTTCCAGGTTCTACACCTGGAATAAAGCTGTGTCCATGGATGATGCTCAGAGAGAGGGATGAAGGGGGGAGTAGAGCCATGCTGTCTGGCTTTGGAGGGGGACGAACTCTTTCAGTTCCCTTATACCTATTCCTCTTTCAAATGGTTTCGCCCCCACCCATACAGTGGCTTTGGAAGCCATGGAGTTGGGTGGAGGAAGCACCCTATAAATGATGGGCCCTCTGAACCCTTGCAATCACTGTCACTGGTCCTTATCCCGGGACACTGGTGCTGGGGATCCACAGCCAATGCTTGCTTGGGCTCCTTTACAGGACTCTGTCCAGTCCCTGATTCCAGCATGCAGAGATGGCCAGCAGGAGAAGAGACTCAGAGCCTATATTAACTGTGCAAAATACAAGGAACTCACCATGCATCTGCATAATCCTTACCAGGATCTGTGATGGGACTCCCAAGACCTGGGCCCTACCTTGAAGGGAAAGTCAAGGACTATGGCGCATGAGACAGGAAGGGTGGTCTGAGGTCAGGGCAGTCATGGGCCCAAGGGCAATGGGTGCTAACCTACTCTGCCCACCAGGCCTCTTGATCCCACCTGCCCCTGGCTGCAGACTGCACCTCCGCGTCTCCTCAGGCCACCACAAGAGCTTATCACCGGGCCACAGGTGAGTCTACTCTGCCTCCTTCTGCAGCATAAAATAGAAGAGCAGCCCCCCAGTTCTTAGCAGCCATGGCCCCTCAAGAGCTCAGAGGGTCACGTGCGGCAGAGATGCGGCCGTGCTGCTGTGGCATAATGCTCTCTGCGCAGCAAGTAGCTGCTGGCTACCGCCTGGTCTCCAGGCACTCTTCCTCTGCACGCGCCCTAAAGCTGCTTCATTCCAGTCTCTCATTCTTTCCCGCCTCAACGTCAGGCTCCACGACCTGCGTCGCTCTCCCAGGCCCTACGCTACTGCACAATGAGGCCCAGCCCCAACTTAAAACCCGTGGCCAAGGTTCAGACCCTGGTCAAAATGCCTATATTCCGGCTAGAAACCAGGACCTTCTACATCATAGATTAGGCTTAAACTGTGTAACAACTGCCTTCTATCCCAGCACAAGGTGCCAAATAAATGAACCGTTCTTCCTGGAGTGACTGAAGTGGACAAAGGTAGGATTTTTCCCTCCAGAATTATCAAGATACAACTAGTGACCCCACTCTCAACCTTCTCCTGGGCAACCAGGCCACCCAGACCTCCACATCAGTCTCTGTCACTCTTGCAGATTCCATGAGCACCAAAGAAGGAGCAAGGCAGTCAGGAGCGGCACCAGACAGGAACAGCAGCAAGGCCCCTGTTTCAGACAGGGCAGGCCTGATGGGGGAAGGGTAGATTCACAAGGAAGTGTGAATACCAGGGAGAGACAAGTCCACGGATGCTTGAGAAAACAACAAGAAGAATGCAGAGGATGGGGTCCATGAGCTCTGGAGAACCCTCTAAGGAGGGCTCAACAGCTAAAACCAAAAGATGAAACAAAGAAACTGGAGGGAGATGGCGTGGAACAGAAGGTCTGCCTGGGACTGGAGCATCACCTGGCAAAGGGCCTGGAGTGCCTGGTGAGGCCTGGCAAGTGTCACTCCAGAACTCCCTTATCTAATGACTCAAGCAAGAAACATCTATAGAACAACTTGCAAGTCAAGCATGGCAAGAAGTTGAGGCGGGACACTCAGGGTGATCCCCTTGTGTGTGTGCTGGTCATGGCCTGCTGTTGTCCATGCCTACCCCATGTCCAGCATCCTCAAAGAACCCATAAACCCAGCATTCTTGGAAAGATTGGACGTCCCATGAGAACATCTCCCAGGAGTGTTCTTGCTTGATCTGAGGCCTCACCTAAGTCAGGGAACAGACACTAATGTCTTGTGAGGCTTACATGGAGGCCACACCTGCAGGCCCTGGAGCCAGTGCCCCCGCCCACTCCCCCCCCCCCCCCCCCCCCCCCCCCCCCCCCCCCCCCCCCCCCCCCGTGCTGAGAGACACTCCAGCCTCATCCCTTCCCTGGCCTGCCTTTCCCACCTCTGTTGTCTGAGTTTCTTGCTAAGGTTGCCACCACATTCCTGGAAAAACTTCATCAAAAGGTCCAAGAGGTGATAAGATCAAGGCCAGCTGCCATGTTGCAGAATCCTCTTGTCCTGGTCTCCTGCAGGGATTCAGGGGGCTCAGAGGACTCTATCGCTGGCTGCCACGGGCCACACCACTGCATGGGGAGACTGCCTGCCTTGTCAGGACCACACTTGCTCTCTCCTGGACAGGAACCTGGCAGAGCAGGGCTGACCTGGGAACCCAGAGAGGCAGCCTGCAGTCAAATCCATGCCTTGCAAAGATGGTGGGTAACACACAGCAGGTGAGAGGGTGTGTGGCCTCAGAAGATGCTGAAGTAGTGTGATCACCATGGAGACCGAAATAAGGTTCCAATCATCAGTGACCAAACCATGACCATGGAGTCACTGGAGATGCAGCAGATATCACTGCTGAGTGCAAATTAATCTTGCACGACAGCATAGAGTCACTGCCTGAATTATCAATGAATTTGAGGAGGTCAGGTTCCATAGAGACCAGTAAAAGCCCTTCCTCCCCTCTAGAACGTGGGTGTCTGGGCCTGAAAGCACAATAGGGACAAAGATACACAACGCAATAGTCTCAAGTACAGTCCCCTGGTCTCCTCCCGCTGTGCCATGCCTCTTACCTTAGCCAATCCACTCTCTGAGCATCTTCCAGAGTGTGGCTAGAATCAACATGGAGACTTTGGTGAACCACTGTGCCTTGGATGAGCTGTAGGTATAGCCAAGAGCAGCAGGAGCTGGTCACCAAAGATAAGGTTTCAGAGGGAGTCCTAGCAGGATATTTCCACAACTGTGGAGAGAAGTGGACATGGGAAGCCCAGAGCAGGACAGCAAGAAAAAGGCTTGCAGGGGTGAAGGCCTGCCAAGCCCGTGAGCTGAGCCCTTGCTCAGGTAGGGAAAATAGGCAGGCACTGTTGGGAGCAAGTCCTCTCTATGCCTGTCAGAGAAGTGACAGTCTCCCCCAGAACAGCATTTCAAGAGAAGGATCAGGAATGTTCTGCAGTATGCAAACAACATAGTCTAGGGAAAGGAATGCTCTCTGAGCAACATGAAGTTCCTGTATCTATTGTCCATAGCTAGGCCTAAGTCCAGAGGAATCTCTTCCTAATTACATGGAACAGTAGGATGCTCATGAAATCATTAAAGATAGCCTGATAGAAAAGATGGGCTCGGGGCTGGAGAGATGGCTCAGAGGTTAAGAGCACTGACTGCTCTTCCAGAGGTCCTGAGTTCAATTCCCAGCAACCACATGGTGGCTCACAACCATCTGTAATGAGATCTGGTGCCCTCTTCTGTATACATAATAAATAAATCTTTAAAAAAAAAAAAAAGAAAAGAAAAGAAAAGATGGGCTCTGACACACCAGCTCAGCATATTGAGGATGCCAAGACGAGGAACCCCCAGCGCTCTGGGGGCAGCTACTCCCAACACCAGCAGGGGTCACTATGACCTAGAAGAAAGCAGAGTGGTGTGCGATCAACCCCAGGAGCCATGCTCAGCCAATGAAGAACAGGTGGGTGGGGCACAGAGAAGGACAGCACTCAGACTTTGCTGCCCAGAGAGTCTATGTCCCCAGGACACTCTTCCCACAGGGGACAGATTCTGGGCTACCTTTACCATGTCCATCAGGCAGTCATTCAATAAGGTGGCATGTCCAATCAGCCCAATGTTTCTCACGCATGTAGGCAGAGGAAGGATTTTCAGTAAGAATTCATCCTCATAAAGGAAAAGCTTTTCTTCTTGTGCGAGAACACCCTCTGTGTGATGATGGCTGCTTCTTCCCGGAACGGGGACCGCTTCTCGATTGTTTCTCTTTCAGCTTTCAGCGTACTGGCTTCTGTCTGCACTGAGCTTGGCGCAAGGCAAGGCCAACATTTGGTCATCCTTGAAGAAGCTTCTAGAAGTGAAGGACACGACAGTAGCACCGAGACTCACACTCACCCCCAAACCCTCGCTGTACCGTAAGGCTTGCCCTCCCAGCATCAGAGAAACCAATGTAGAACCAACGCCTTTACATATGTGGAGACGCGTTAATCTTCCAGCGACCCCACCTCAGGGTCTTGGTCAACCTGCCCCTCTGGCTTTGTCCTACATTTGTGCAGGCGAAGGTATGGGTGTGCAGAGGCACGAGACGGCAGGCCCAGTACCTCACGTGTCACAAGCAGGGTTCAGGAAGGTTGAGGTGTGGCAGTCGAGCTAAAAGTTAGAAGACTCCTGTGTCCTGGGTTTCCTGGGGGGAAACGAAACCCCCAAGAGAGAAACCCCTGTTCTCTCTGGTGTGGGAGCTGAGCCCTTGCAGCCCCTGACTCTGCCTGGGTGACAGTGGAGTGTGTCAGCCTCCCCAGTCTTTGCCTCCCTCCTTCCCCACCTCATGCCACACTGAACCCAAAGCCCTGCAGTGTGCTAGCTGCAGGGTGACATTTGAGGGGTGTGTCACTGTGCCCATGGGCCTCCTGCCTTTCCATCTGCGCAGGCCTGTGTGTGTCATGACTGCCATGGACAGGAAGCCTCTGTCCTCACAGGACATAGCACTAACTCTAGTGATGAGAACTCTGGCTTTGAGCCATCCCCGACACCATCCCAGGTGTGTGGTTGAGGC